TACTCTACTTAAGTTACTTTGCAGGAATTTTATTTGAAGGATAAAACTTATTAAAATTCAAATGGAAATCCTTAAAAAATGTTTCGTAGATTTATTTCAATATTTATAGGATGTTTCAAGCGCCACTTTATTTAGTCAATCAATCCAATTACTTAAGCGTGTTGCACAGTGTAAGTGCTGAAGTGTAATAAAATGGTGCTTATTCCATTCGAGGCGTCATAAATGTGCAGGCAATCTTCCACATTCGAGACCAGACAGCCACGCAGACAACACACACAAAGAGCCAACCTCAAGCCCATTGCGGGCCGCAGAACAACAGTTATTCATAATCGTTTGTCCATATTTTGTGGCCTATGTACACACAACAATATCCACATTAAGCAACAGCAACAAATGTTCTACACAAAACGGCCACAGCCTGCGGTGGGGCAATTTCGGTGCTCGCGGTGCACGCTGACGTATGGTGCTTATATATTTGTTTAAACACTAATGCGAAATAGCAGCAACTATAAATAATGCAGTGTGCTTACAATAAATGGCAATACCTTGCACAATTGTTGGGGCGTTAGAGTGTATAGTGAAAACAATTAAAAAACATAATTTATTTGATTGTGTGCCATTAAGGGTCGTATGAGTATTATGTAGCATGTCAAACAACCAACACACATCTGCATGGCATCCCTTTTGTGCTGTGTGGCAGCTCTTTTAGTTTCGCATTCATTTGCGAGCAATCCCGGAGGCTTGTGTTCACTATTTAGCTAAAACTGTGCCTTCAAGTGCTGCCAGGCACATCGCAGCTCGGCTTAATGGGGCCAGCAGTTCCGGAAATGGGAGCCGTGTTAAGTGGGGTCTACGAACCCCGCAGCAGCACCAACGGCTGGCATCCCATTTTAACCCTAGCCCAACATAAGCATTAACGCCCAGCCAGAGATACGACTCGCTTTTGGGTTAGCTAGTTATTTAAGCAAATGTTTGAAGTGCTGCCATATCAGTTGCCATCTGTGTGTGTGCGTGTGTGTATATGAGCTTAAGGACGATTAAATGGATTTGATTTTGGGGCTAGCAAAGGCTCTGATTCGACTTTGTTTATGTATGCTAATATAGGCTGCATATTTGTGGCTGAGCTTGTTTTAGGATTATGAAATTCGAATTGGAAATTGTTTTGGCAGAGAGTAAGGAAACCCATCTGTTGGCTAATCTAGCATACGTTAAGTCAGAGGTATACTATGTTTGCTTAAGAATATACTTAAATAATTTCAGACAAATGAAAATCATTCAAATAACTTTAATGAGCCAAGTAATAATATTTAAGGAAAATGTGAAAGAACACAAGCCTGGCTCATGTTTCCGTAGCGACTCTTTTATATTTTAAGCTTATTTATTAATGTCAAAACATATAATATGGGCTTTCAAATTTCATTGAATAACAGGTGAAACATTCTGTAACTGTATTATATACATATACTTAAAGAAGTTTTCTAAACTTGTCTCATCGATTGGCAAAACTTATTAGCGACGTTATGCACTTAATTCATTTCATGCTCTCTCTAATCTTGTAGAACAATGAAATGCTCAAGCAATACTGAAACAACTTTCACTTAGGATCATTGAGCTGTAATCCGCCGCCAGTCACAACACCAAGTGTTAACACCTTCATTTGCTGAGTGGAGCAAATGCTCAACGTATCCTCGTGCACATTCTCATTTAATGCAATTTAAAATGAAATTGCATTTTATTTGCACAACTTCATTAGCAAAAACCCTTCAGCAAATTCATTACGACGCTGCCAATGACTATCAAAATGTAGGGCACTACAAATGGCTGCAGTCAACCAAAAGCTGACTGTCACACACACAGACGGGCACACGCACGAACTCCCACTCCCACTCACACTCACACACCGACATACTCACCTCGAAATGTCTTCTCGAGTGCGGAAATATTTAAAGTGTCACACACGCTGTTCGGAAATTAAATGTGAACATTGCTTATGCTCAGCCAGTAAAAGTGGCTCCTGTGTCCGTGTATGAGAGCTTCGCGAACGGAAAGCAGACGCCCCATTACACTGTGCAACAACATAATTAAATATTAAAGGACTGTAAAAGTTTTTTTATGATTTTTATCAAGCAAAAGTCAGAAAAGCTTATGTTTAATGCGGGCTTTTAACACGTATATTTACTTATCATAAAATAACAGTTTCTAAAATTCGAAAAGCCTTCTTTACCTCTTCACAAATATATCTTTAATATTAATTAGATTTTAAAGACTATAAAGACTTTGTGTACTTAAAGCTCTACTGAAATGCCATCTAATAATTTTTTGTTTGATTGGGTCAATTAGACGTAACTCGTTTACAAATGAGTTTACCTACATACAATATTCTCCAGCAACTTCTCATACTACTTTCAATACATCTCAATCGTACATCAAACAAAACTGACGTGCTTAGCAACATTACCAAGCATGTTTACAACTCTCTTTCACACAGAGTCGCTTACATGCTCTTCTTCTTTTCATTAACCATTGGCCATCATCTCTGTAGAGAAAAGGACCATTGAGGTGACTAAGACATTAATCAGTAATTTTGTGGCTTAGTGCTCCATCTACAGTTTATACACTCCACTTGCCGTGTGAATGGCCAGAGCCAGAAAAGTGCCCGCCGTCAGTCAAGGTGTCTGTCTCCTGTCCGAATCCATTCCATGCTCTCTTTGTGGGTGTGGCACAATAACAAAATGACATTGTTCGCTTTTGTTGTGGCATCCTCCACTTCTTTGTCCCTGTCCTTAATACCCCTCTATTTTTCATTGCATACTTTCGAGTGTTTGCTGTGCATATTTCTGTTGGTCGTCTGCCGGAGGCGTTTAAAGTTTTGTGTTTTGTGTTTTGGGTTTTGATTTTTAAGTGTTTTGCGGTTAGTGTTTTGAGTAGAGAGTTTACTTTACGCTACGTTTCGTTACGTTGTGTTGTGTTGTGTTTGTTTGGCCTCCTTTGTGGCGCTGTTTGCGGTGCGTATACTTAACATTGTTGCACACAGTATGTGGTTGTATTTATTAAATTCAACTGTCGTGCGATGGTTCAGTTGTTGCTCCAACTTTTCACACAGATTTGGCTGCTTGTGAACCCACCAAAAATGCACATATATGTTTTCGGTTGGGAGTTCCTCTACAAAAAAAACTTTTCATTTCGCATTGTTTTTGCCTTTTGCTGACACATTATGGACAAAAATTAACTGGTTTTCAGTAGAGATTACGACTTAAATATTTTAATGAACACATGCAGAGCAGCAATATCATCTGACAACTTCTATCTAACAGAATATTTAAATAAGAATAATCAGGGTTCTCTACATGTAATTGGGGAAAACAGAAGATCCCTTTAAAATTGCATATCCAATGCCTCTTCTATACTTAAGCTATTTCTTAGCTATTTGTAGCGATTCCTCCTTCTGCCTGGCAGCTGCTGATTGCAATGTTCCCTGCTGCTGTTGTTCATTGAATAATTTAAAGAAATATTGCGCCGGCTTTGGCCAGTGCGCTGTTTGAGCTCATTTTAAGTAAGCATAGACTTGACATTTTCACTTTATTTATTGCACACACACATAGGGATAGACATTCACATCCTGCTGGCAACAACAATTGGAGAGCATGGTGTAAGCGTTTGCTCAAGTGTGTGAGATTACATAATAGAAACCGCAAATAAATAAATCGCGTACTATAGCCACATGACATACGCAGCAATAACAACAAGGAGCTATGTACAAACATGTGTCTCCGGAGACAGCAAGTGCTGTTCGCTTCGTCCTGCCAAAGGACTTGCAGCTCTACAAGAAAATCAACAGCAGCAACAGCAGCAGCAGCAGGAGCACCAGCAAACGGGTAAAAATAAGTGGAAAAAAGACCACTGAGAGACTCGTACCTTGGGCCATACATTCATGATGAGTGCTACCCCTACCCTTCCAGCTCCAGGCAGACATGGCAGGTGGCGGGGGTGTGAAGGCTTGCCTCTTGGCTGTTGTCTGTATCGAGGTCAAAGCGCATAACTTAAGTAGCCGACAATAAAATGCATAACATGGCGCACAGGCCAAAAGGCAAAAAGCAAACCTGAGCGAAAATGTACAAAATATGGCTCTATTTATTTGTACATTAGGCTAACAAGAAGAAGAAGACGCGGCAACGGCAAAGGCAGTGGCAGAAGCAGCAGTATAAGATGCTGAAATACGCGCCTGACAAGTTTTTTCTCCATGTGTGAGCTCTTATACCCTTCGCTATAGCTACACCCCTCATTCCCTCTGCTTCTACCTGGCTGTAGCAGCTGCTAGCAAAAGGCCAAGTGTTGTGCTTGACATGTGCCAAGAACCCATTGAGCACAGCCCTGACTATACGTTGTTGTTGTTTGTGTGTGTGTGTGAGTGTATTTGTGTACGTGTGTCCTGCTGGGGCCATAATAATTTCACGCTGCGTTGCAAAGACTGTTGAGATCGCAGTATAAACCATATTTGACTTTCTTGGCGAATACGTCAAGTAATCAAAGCAAATGTAATTCTGACACTACATAAAATTGGATTATGTCTTTTATTAAACTGTCTTTCATTAAACTGAAGGGCACATTTGTAAGACATTTATAATTAAAATTATTACGAAAGAAAAACTTTTTTGCACTTTTAAGAGTCTTTGTTTGTTTAACTCAAGTAAAAGGAATAAGTAATATAGTGATGAGCAGCTAAAAAACCTTTTAAGAATAGTCCCATCTCTATGCAATTCAGCATTCATTATTAAAGCTTGCGTTTGATGAATTCAGAAGCATTTCCAGCACGCGCGCCACGTATTCCGTATTTTGCGTATTTTGTACTTTCACAGAACTTTCGGACAATGCAACCGCATAATTAAGCGGTGAAGTGTGCGACCAACAACGGCGTCAGCTATTTGAAAATTGTTAACAATGCGCATTACGTATACGCCATGTGGTGATTGTATTGTTTTTTTATGTCTGCCCGCACACAGATACCAGGACATGTACAACAATCCGATAAAAGCCACTAATTTGGAGCATCGCGACGTTGTGCTGGACATCCTCTCCGATGCCCGGGTCGTCGGACCTCTGCTGCAGACGGGCATGTTCCATGCGGATGTGAATCGACGCAATTATATGTACGTTTTTGGACATAACAGCGCCACGGGTCCCTATGCAAATGTAAGTACAAGTGCATTCATATTTGGTATTCTATACTTACATATAAGTATATTTATATATGCATGAGTGTGGAAATGGATTATAGATATTGTAAGAGCGCCAAGCTGGTATTCTAATTAAGCAGCGCATTTCATTTAAATGCTGTGGTCAATTTTCCTAAATGTACAAACAGCAGAAGTTAGTCGTTTAATGAGTTTCACGGACTGCCCAAAAGCTTCCCCCTGCGACTCTCTGCTTAGCTACTCTCTGCTGGGTCATTCCATCATTGGCTGCCATTTTGGCTTTTCAGCAAAACAATTCACAACTTTGCAGCTGTACAGGCCGCGACGCGTAACGATCGTAATAAAGGCAATGAACTGCCTTTCAGTCGTGAGAGAACAAGAACAACATTCGCAACAAAAGCAACTTTAAGTTGGGGGCAAGTCGCTAAGTAGACAACGAACCACTTCACTGGGGGGAATGCCTTACGGTTTTTGTTTTTGGTTTTGTGGCCCGCGGGCGGCTCACTGGTTGAGTGGTTGAATGGCTGCCGACTGGCTGGGTGCCCGTTTGCCTCGACTAACTTGGCTGGTTATTTGTGTCTCTGCTGAGTGTCTGTCGTGTCAGTCCGTTCAGCTGCTCTTGGTTGCTGCTTTTATAGCTTTGCCATGCTTCAGGATTTGTTACTGATTGCCATTTGAAGATAGCCTCGGTTGCTCTCAATATCGCTACTCTATACATTCACCACTCTCTATACTTTGTTATGATTAAATGTGTCTATCGATTTGTAATTAGGATGCAAACACAGCTATTTGATAGAGGATAATACAACAAATTTGATGGCTTGATTGCTGCATGAACCACTTTGATTCACATTAATGAAAATTGAATAAGCATTTCGAATTTAGTATAGATGGACGATAGTATTTTGCCAAGAAAGCCATTTCAAATTGTCAAATAGCTAACCAAATATACAAATAAATGAAGAGCAAATCATGCTTTGCTTTAGAGGAAAAGCACGAATTTAAATGTTGAAATTTATAAATAAATATAGAGTGCATTTATACAACTTCATACAAATTAAGCTTGAATATAAATAAATGAATATATAAATACATAATATAATTGTACATAAACGCAATTCGTTTGATTAAATATAATATTTATAGGATTAGTATTAATATAATATTTATTTACTGACAAATTAAAACGAAATTCCATAATTCTGAATAATTGATCTAAAAAGTATAAAAGTTCTAATTCCAAAAGCAAATTATTGGACAATATACACCATAATTCCAGATGTATTTGTAAGGCTTTAAATGCCCGTCACAGAACATCCGACAGCAGAGCTTGACAAAATATGAATAAAACTGAAATAATAACAACAAAATCCCCAAATAAAGAGCACTAAAACAGAAATAATGAATGGGGAGACCACATATAAAAATCTAAATAAAAAGGACCAAAGGAAAAAAGCGAGAAGTTATTATTTCGCATTATATTTTTGGAAAGTTTAGCTTTGGCTGTGGCGCTAAGCGTATTTTTATGACCCTTGCTACCCAAGGGTGGAGAGCTCCAAAGTTGGCCATAAACCATGACCAAGTCAACTAAGACCCAACTAAATGAAAATAGACGTCAATGGGGCTCTCGATGCACTCGACTGGCTTTTTCAAATGCGACAACAGTTTGTGGCTGGGAGAAAAGTGCAACAACTTTTTAATAGCCGGCAATTAAAGCATACAAATATATATCCAAAAAGGAAAAGAGAAAAATATATTACTAATAAATAATGAGCAAACGAACTGCAGTGCTTAAACTTTGTGTACAAACTCTGCTGAGTCTTTTTTCGGGAAGTTGTAGTTGTTCCTAAAAGTAGCTTAATAATAGATGAGAGCATGTGCCATAGCTTAAGCGACATTTATATTTATGCGCTTAAGATGAGAAAAAATGCGACGACGATCAGCGTAAAGCGCCAAAGCGCATTAGTTGCAAATAAATTATGAAATGAAATGAAATTCACTTAAATAATTCATGCCGAAAGCAAAGCCAAAATGCTGCCACGACGAACATGAGCTGGAGCCTTGGCTGCGAACTGGCTCCCGCTTGCCTACAAATTATCGCAGCGACAGCCCAAGTCCTGGGGCCCATGTGCCAGACAAATAAACAAACCAAGCAGACCCACAGACCCACAGTAGCCCACGCATAGAGGCAGACACATTTATACTGTTTGTGTGTTGTGAGGAGCTTTAACAATGCCGCAACATTTTTCTCCGACATTTTATTTTTATTTATTTGGCCATTTGCTTTGTTGTTTGTCAGAGGCCAAAGCCAAAAACTCAACTAAAATGCGCACATTTCTGCATAAACTGCGCTGCTGCACTTGTGCCCAAGTATTTTGATACCCTCTAATCATAAATTCAGTAAAACGAGTGGCTTAAAGTTCGGGCAGGTTATTTGAGGTCCAAGAAGATAGAAACTCATTTGAGGATTTTTGTTGAGGGCAGCAGCATTTAATTTGACTTAAACATTTTGTAAACAATTTTAAAATTTTTTTATCATATTCCAAAATTGATTTTATTTAATCTCTTGCTAAATTACTGTTGCGCAGGGTATATCATTCATAGTTATATCTATACTAGGCTGCTGCTTAAACATCTCGTTGGCGACCACGCCCACACTCTGTAAACACTTGAAACCAACTAGCTGACTGAGTGACTGAGTGACTTCCTCTGCTCTGCCCTGCAAAGTTCCCGCTATCTCTAAGACTTAAGCTGCGGGCATATTGTAAAACTTTTTGGCACATGTCTTGCATGTTTGCAGCTGAGAAGCTGTCGTCCAAGGACTCCAGAAGAAGCACTCACTCCTTTCTGAACGCGGCTCGAGGCGATTGTGAAACTGAAGTAAATGATGCGTGTAAGAACAGTTCTTAAACGCACTTAAATTCAATTCCTCAACACGAAAGCTAAAAAAAAAATTATACATAAAATATAGGCATATCTATTTGTAAACTAATATATAATATTTTTAAATATAAATATAAATTTAATATAATATTGACGCTGGCTAATATAATTAAATTTATTCAAATATTTTCTTACATTGCAAAATATTTCTATTATTTATAATACTTAATATGTTTTGGCATAATAAACCCGGCATTTTTTACAAGCACCCGCAACGTCATACCGAACATTCCAACTATGTCTCGTCTGATCCCTTTTCTTGGCCTTCTTCCGCTTGGTGGAAGTTTGGAGCTGCCTTTTGATAAGAATGCGAAATAAATTGTAGAAGGAAGGAAACTGAATTCATAAAAATAAATATAATAAAAACGAAACTAAAATTTTTATTGGCGTCGCGCGCGCACAAACTTTTCTTCATTCACATTTTTTTCCTTCTTTTGCTGCCGTTGACCGCATTCATAAAAGAAATACGTCTCAAGACTTGGGTAAATAATAAAAAAACTTTTGCAACGTGACGCAAAATATGTAGAAATACTTTTTTGGGTCCAGTTCCAGTCCCAAAAATAAGACTCGAACGCAACTTAAGCAACTGCTCCGAAATTTCTAATTACGAAATAGAAAATTACAAATTAAAGACGCCCCCGGCTCGCCTTGGGCGTTTCAGCTGAAGCTTATAAAAGCCCATTAAGATGAGTTACAAATTACGGCCTGCGCTCCTTGGCCACGGGGGGTCGAAGTTCATGCCACGCCTGCTGTCGCTTACATTAGAGCCAATTTGGCAAACACTTTTGCCGATTCCCGAGGTTGACGCTTAGGCAAATTGTTGCTTCCGTTGGCTTTGGGCTAAAGCGGAAGTCAAGCGAAAGAAAGAGATGGATAGAAAAAGAGAGAGAGCGCTAGACAGACATTGCGATGGAGCAACGCAAACAAAAACATAAATTACAAAATTAACGCATGTATTTTAAATTGAGTTTCCGGTTTTTATTTGTATTTTTATATTCAACTTTAATGGCGCAACTTACACTGGAAGCCATTCGAAAATGATTTAACAGTTTATTTTTTTATGAATATATAACCTAATTAAAAATCATTTAAAACCCGATATTTGCAATTGTTTTTTTTTTATAACATATTATTCTTTTAATTAATGACAAAGTACTTAAGAATCAGTGTTTGAGAAAGAAAATTGTGTACAAATTGTTTATTTTTAGCTCTACAAGTGTTACATTTTGCATCCATCCAATATCCTGCTTAATCCAATTATCGTCTGACGAACTTTCTATTATTATACTTCAATGGCTTTCAAACAAACATATGCTGGTTGTTTGGCAACAATTTGCACCATAAACCAGTATTTATGGTCTGCACAATTCGGTTTGCCTCAGATAAAAAGTTTACTGAACCTCAAAAGGGCAACAAAACTTGGCACTTGTCCTGTCATGCAGGCAGACTGTGTGCTGTTTCTACTTTTCTTTCCATATTTACGCATTTCATCACAAAAATGGAAAATCAAAATCAAAAATGACATTTATCATTCATAAACGCCAACAAAAGCTGGCGACAACCATGAAAATGAGCCAAAAAGGAGCTTAAGCAACCACAACAACGACAACAACAATCACAAAGGCCGACACCAATTTTTATGGGCGCCAAAGCGAAATGCTTTGTGACTTTGTTACATTTTTCATGGCAACCGTAAAAAGTTAGCTTTATTACCCACCTACTTACTGCAGTTGTTGCCACATGGCCAGCCCAGCCCAGCCGCTGCCTCCCCCGCACGAACTGTCCGACAGACTAGCCAAATATTTATGCAGCCAAAGCCAAGAAGATTGATGCTGACTGGCCAAAAGCTGCTGAATAGCATTTTCCACTGATCTGATGTCTGTTACAATTTTCACCACGTTTTCAATGCATATTAAAAGTCGCAGTGAGGGTATATTGATTTTGTATAGCAAGCGGACAAATATTTAAAAAGAAATTATTGATTATAAGCTAATAAAACTTAAATGGATTATCCATTGTAAATTAAGGCTACTGGATATTGGGCATGCAAAGAAAGAATCAACAAATACTTAACAACTATTTTAAAACAAATTAGAATTATTATTAAAAAACTATAATTATATAAAAACATTGCAATTCAAAGTTAATTAAATGAGTAAATCTAATTCTTATTTTCGGTGTTTGTTAAGATTCTATTAGGATAAGAAATCAAGAATAAATTAATTTAATAAATTAAATTAATCACTCTAAATATGTTTAACTTATTTTAAGCAAATATTGATTATTAAGAATAAATTTGATCTGAATATTCGATTTTTGAAGAGAATAGTCTTGTCATTAGATATATATTTTATGTAAGAGTATTATAAATTTTGCAGTTTTTTATATGCGAGCTCATCTGTTTCAATTGCAGCTACCGCATAGCATAATGGGCGAGGAGCTGGCGTTCGTTTTTGGTGCGCCGCTGGCGCCGGCCGGCCCATTTCCCAGCCACAACTATTCCGTGCAGGAAAAGCTGCTTTCCGAGGCGGTAATGGCATATTGGACGAACTTCGTAAAGACCGGGTGAGTAGTGTCTATGCCAAGAGCGAATTGAAGAGTGAATTTGCGATTGGAAACGTAGGGAGGCAAGAGGAACATGCATTGGGGCACCACAAGGGGCAGTGGGTGTCGGGCAGCTAAGCCATCAGCACAACGAGTCGCAGCTCTGCATGCAAATGCGACAGAACATGCGGATGCGAATGCGATATCCAGGGAGCTGGGCTGTGGCACGTTTTGCAATCTGCAACGCTCGGACAGTGAAATGAATAGAATTTTTACTGCCGTTTTTATTATTATTTCTGTGCAAAAACAACTCCAAAAACGGGCCATAAGCAGGACATGCAAATATTATTAGTGGCAATGCGATGCGCCCCTCCAGCCAAATGGCAATCAAAGCCGAAATCAGAGATCGTTAGCAGACATTTTGGATTATATTTTTGCATCTTTTTCTATTTTTTTTTTTTTGGTATTTAGTTTTTAGTTCTCTAATATTTCGGAGGTCATTAGCTATGTGACCATGAGATTGAAAAGCAAAAAACTGCAGGAAATGAGAGCACAAAGAACTCAACCGCAAATGCGGCTTAGGGCGCAACTACCATGAATATTTTAGTATTAAGCGAAAATTTGATTACAATGAGACACTCTGTTAATTTGCTATAGGTGTGCAGATGCTTCAAATACTCTCTCGTATTACTAATCAATTTCCAACCACTGTTAACCATCTTTAGTAACCCGAAGGCGCCTTGGAAGGGAACATTTTTGAACTCGCATCTCTTGGAATGGGATCGCTATGATTTGGATTGGCCAGAGTTTAATAAGCGTGCACAGGCCTATCTCAATATTGGTATGTAGAGTTCACTGAACACTCTTAATTTTCAACCACATACCCCTGACTAATTAATCAACTAATTGCTTTCGCATTTGCGCTTTTGACTCTGGCAGGCATTCCGCCGACAGTGGGCTACAAATACCGTCAAATCTACATGAACTTTTGGAACAAAGAGCTGCCGGACGAACTGAATCAAATTGCGGCCATACAGCAGCAGCAGCTGGCCGGAAACGAGGTGATTACGGGTCATATGAGTAAGTACGGGCCGCGTGACAATGGCGCCGAAGATCCGGTGCGTACACTCAAATTGCTGCTTCAGGAGCCGGTGGCAACGGGCAGTGAGCAGCTCGAAACCGCCGCGGAAAACATGTACAATGCTCCGCCTACATTCGGCCATGTTCACAGGCAGCAGCAACAGCAACAGCAGCAGGGCAACGATGGCGTGGCCACGTTTTTGGAGGAGGTGACACCCAGCAGCGACTACGGGGAGGACGGAGCATCATCGTCTCCAGCGACCCCTGGGGAGCCCATAGCCAAATCGGAGACGACGCTGCAGCTGCTCATCGCGCTCATTGCCATTTTCCTTGTGCTTAACGTGGCTATTTATGCCACGTTTCTGGTTAGGCAGCGCCGCAAGCGCAACACGACAATGCAACGCAAGCTAGGCGGCAATATCCTCAGCTATGATGGCGCCAACGATGATGAGCTCAAGCGATGCAGTAAATCGCGCGATGGCGACGAGAGCTACATTCTGGACATTGTGCGCAAATCGAATACCTACGAGGCCATCAAGACGGGCCAGCGCTCGCCTATAAATGGCTATGCCATCCAGCGGCAACTGAGCAGCTCAACGGTGGACACGCATACCAAAGTATGCGAGTGGATGTCTGCCACGCAACATCAGCACTCGGTGCCAAGCAAATCGGGCAGCTTCAATACCACGCCTCCACCGCCAGCGGCAGTACAGTGCGACGGGCGCATCATCATTTGTCAGGACATCGAGGTTGCCGATGCTGCACTGCTGACTCCGCAGCACATGCATGAGACGCAGGAGGGCATGCACTATGAGCTGCTGCTACAGCGCCAGCATTCGGCCCTGACCGAACCATGCGAGGCTTCGCTGCAGCCACAGCATTTTCACTCGCACTCGGATCCTGTGGACATGATTTTAGCAGCGGACGAGCAGGTCACCAGTTTTGTGCACGCCGATGATGTGGACATCAATGTGACCAGTCGGGACGAGACGGCGCTTGTGCTACAACCCCTCAGCGCCGCACAGCAGCTGGAGCTGCTGCGCCAGCGCAACTATCCGAAGGTGTTGCCTACGGCGCAGGATTTGCGCGCTAGCCACAGCTATAAACGCAACTCGCTGCCGCCACAAAACTATGCAACTGCACCGCTGCCCCCGCCGCGCACTATTAGTAGTACATTGGGCCGCCGGCGGCGAGACAGCAGCAACATAACCACATCTCCACTAATGGTGGCTCAGGATTGTGGCGAGGATGAGCCGCGTGAGCCGCCAATCACGCAGAATACGCTGATTGTGGGCCCCATTGTGCCGAAATCTCCGTCGGCATCGCTTAAGAGGATTAAGCCGGCTCCAAGCGGTCTGGACGCACCGCTGAACACGCTAAGCGGCTCATTTCAGTCGTTCGAGTCAGTGCCGCCAGCGCACGAAGCAACACCGCCCCAAGGACAACGCACCGAGTGCGTCTATGCCATAGCGGCTAGCGCCAGCGTAAGCTCCATGTCAGGCAGCAGCTGGGCAGCGCCCAATGGCGATGTTTATGCGCAACCCATGAAGTCAGCATCAAGAACGTCGCTCATACCGCGACCGCTGCAGATGGCAACGGAGACGCCAGCTGTCACACCGCAGGTGTCAACGCCAGCTGCCACAGCCTGCGCCTTGACTTCGGCCGCCGCCTCTGCCTCGCCCAGTCGCATACCGCAACTGCAGCGTCAGGCATCCAGCAAGGAGCTGTCGCCGGCTGACAGCCAACAGACAGCGGATGCCACAACAGCATCAAATTCACGCATAGACTCCACCATCTCGAGTGGCTCATCCGCCTCGACCGCCTCCTGGTGCAACTCGACGACATCCTCATCCTCCTCCTCGACGGGCACGGTACGCACCGAACTGCAGCCGAGTCGCAGCATTGCAACCCATATATAGTCCTGCAATTGACGCCCAGCCGAGCGCCTGCTGTGGCCCGCAATGCAGCTCTTGCCAAATCCGTTGAAGGCTTGTGGCTCGGTATTTGCTGGTGTTTGCGCGAAATTTAATAATACATTCTGGCCAAAAGTTTATCTTTGACTTGACGGTCGCAGGATTGCAGCTGCTCAAGCATGGCACGGGACCTGCGGCAGCTCGTGGTCGCCTTGGTCTGTAGAAGTTTTGCTAACTGCAAGTTTCGCTAAGGCTTTGATTCAAATTAGGGAGAACGAATATCGAAATAACTAATGAAAATTCAATTCGAGTCAAGACGAATTTCCGCAGCAAATGTTGGTCAAAGAAAAAAGAAAAGAAATGCAGTTCTTCATGAAAGAAATGTTTTAATTAGTTAATTAAATTAGAAACGGAAGAAAGTCAAAGAACTAAAGAAAATATTCGAGCTATAAGAGTTTATATTTAAGAAAACCAAATACTTAATATATTAAATATAAATATTTATGATAAAAGAAGATATTGAATATATTAAATATAAAGCTTTATGATTAGAGAAGATATTGAATATATTAAATATAAATCTTTATGATAAAAGAAGATATTGAATATATTAAATATAAATCTTTATGATAAGACAAGATATTGAATATATATTCTGATATTTTGATAATTGAAGAAATTTAAGTTTTAATTTAAGTTTAAATACGTTTTTTTTTAAATCAAAAGATAAAAGAAGTCAAACTTATATAAATGAAACTATTCTATAAATGAGAAGAGAAACGCAACTAAACAAGGTTCAATTGGGCAACAACTTTACTTTTATATTATATGAAAATACCTAACAAGTATTATGAGCGCAAATGTGGGAGCTACTGAGTACTTCATGTGGCATATAGTTAGATATAATATAAATATAATATAATAAGTATAAAGTAAGATACATAATAAGTATACTTTACGCACTAATTAAACAACAAGTAAAGTAAAGTAAAGCACAATTTAAGGACATAATTGTAAGTAACACAAGTTTGGCTTATTTATGTAGGCCAATTACAAACGGAAAAGGAAAAAAGTTTGTCCTTTGCTTGTTACCTGCCCATGAGCATGAACAATGCGCAATTTGATTGGCCCAAATGATTGGCAAACAGAAGCCCGTTCATAAGTAGATGCTGCCAATGCACAGACAACACAGCAACAGAGCTAAACTGTTGACTATGTCAACATTTGAATAGTTGCAAATATTTCAAATATTTTGAGATACTTGGCCGCAGGGACTTCCGTCAAACTCGTCCCCGCAAAATAGTTGCCAAGCAGTTGCCTAAACTCCCTCCTGGCTGCAGCAAGTTTATCGCTTTTATCCCGGGCTTTACTTTTGTTCTCGCTCCGAATTGAGTTATTGTGTCGAGTTCTTCGCTTTTCGCTTGACATTTTATGCAAATTGCTGTCAAGCGACAACTTTGCCCAAAAAGTAAAGAAATTCTGTGGGCTTTTTTCTTCTGGGCGAAAACTTAAAATCCCTGCCATAAACAGGGCGTAGTACAAAAGTTGTAATTAAATTTTGTGCCCAATTGGATTGTTTCGCTTTTCATAAATATATTTATATTTGTTTTGCGCTAATTTTGTTAAGTTCTTCTGTTCTTCATTAGTTGCGACTCACAGGCAGCCAATTAAATGTGTTACACTATATATATATATAAATAGAGTCATTAATTATGCATATATATGTTATATCGTATATATATAGTTGCCTGTGCCTCTAAATTTTCTTTGCAGTGTTTTCTGTGTTGACACAGATTTACACTTCAAAGAGCGACAAACGACGAAATATCCTGTGGCCTCTCATATGACTGACTCGATTTCCATTGGCCTGGCAGTCGCCTCGCTGTGCTAATTTTCCAGAATTTACTGAAATGCTTGGAGCACTTTCCACACTCAATTTGCAACGTACATTTTCTTGATCCATTTGCTTTTTGTGCTTTTGCTTTACTCTTTTGTCTCCTCTTCTTTCATCTTATCCACATGTGGCTCTCATAAGCTTTTGAGTATTTGGGCATTGTTGAGTCTTCTGCATGATGAACTGAATGGAGTCTGAAACATTTAGTTAATTAAATCGAGTCAAGACGATAGCCACAAAAACATGCAGCGTAAACTAAAACATGAAAGATATAGCTCTTGGTGAGAGCTGTTTAGGTCAGCTATAATTGGAAATCTTCCTTATTACTTTATATCTGACATCTATTGACAGCAACTGTGGAACTTCCTGCTTTATTGCAATTTGTTTTGTAAACAAAAAAGAAGATTTAAAATTTATTTGCCTTATTAAAATATTATATGGAAACTAAATACATTGTTATATTATTTTTCTTTATTTTATTTTTCTCAATTTGTTATTTTAATATTTGATATTATATATTATTATTTTTATTTCAAATTGTTTGAAATATTTTAATTGAAGCTTAAATTACGAAAACTACTTCCATTGACCGTCGCGAAGATTCACAAGTAAGACAAAGTCAAAAGTCTAAAAAGAGGAAAAGTTTTTTGAACAAATGGCGGATGATTATAAATTAGAGCTGGCTCGAGAGAAGACTTAAATAAAATTCCCCAGGGTTATTCAAAGAGAGAGAGTTAAATATCTCTAAGATAAATAAACAAATAGCATCCAAAACAAACACAAGTTCATAACTGAAACTTCCTTCAAGCATAAATTCAGTTGAATAACAACAGCCAAGGCTTTTGATTTATGGTAGACAATTTTTTGTGGCTTGCACACGGCATATAAATAAATAATAAATAAATATTTATTGGAGTTTAATATTTAATCGCGTTAAATCAAACTGTCAACAGCCGCAGACGACAAAAAAAATTAACTTAAGTAAAAATTATGCGAAATAAATTTGCATTAATTAAATGAGACAAGGAAGGTAAATAATGATAATTGCATATGCATTGATAAAGCGGCTTAAATTCATCTGGACTAATTAATGCACTTTATAATTAGTATTATAAGATTAATATTACCACGCATAACATATCCATACAAATGTATGCCAACACAGGGTCAACAGCTTCAATTCAATAGCATTCAACAATAAACTGGGTAAACATTCCACAACATGACAGGCGCCAAATCCTTACTTGTAGAACAAAAAACAATCACAAACACACAAATTAAGACTTCCATAAAAAATTGTAAACAAAAGCAAATATGCAAATTATAATGTTTTTCTGTACAATAATGGCTTTTGGTTTATTCATTTATTTATTTTTTCTCCTTTACTTATGATGTGCTGCAATATTGTTTGACTTTTTAATGGAAATTTTCATAATTTAATAGGACAAATCAACAAAGGACATCACTTTAAATAAACATGTGTAAATTATTCAAAAGCCAAACAATTATTATAAGCTGTATTCGTAAATGTTAAATGTGAAAAAGAGCAAAATAATTTAAGCTGAAATAAAAAATAAAAACAAACATATTCTACATTTAACAAAGACATATTTTTACATTTTTTTTCGATTATAGATGATTATTGACGCATTACGTAATTAAATATTCTGAGCTCATTTTGCCAGTAACGCGAGTAAATGCATGATTCTAGCATATTTGAGTCCCATTAAGAGCATTTTAAATTAAACTGAAAAAAGTTGTTTGCCTTGTTTTAACAAAACTAACTAGGTTTACATAATTAAAAAATAAAAAATAAATAGAATTAAATTTTAAAAATAAATGAACATTGTTTTTATAATCTTTGCCGAGTAAATGCAAAAAGTATTAAGCTTAGAAATATTTCTAAACGACTAACATTTTAACTTCAAAATTAAAATTGAAACTATTTAATAAATTTAACTAAAATAAACAATTATGTATTGATATGTTTTATGGCAGAAAAATAGTCGGATTACACCACAGTGCAGCAATTTAATGTATAGCTTTCAGATATAATCCAACTGTTTTCCCATATAACTGAATTTTGCGGTTGATTTTAGGTTGTCTGTGTCCGTATAATTATGCTAAGAGAAACAAATTCAATTGAATTGAGCTAAAATAATAAATTAAATATTTAATTAAATATAATTACCGCGCCATGCTGTTTGGCGAGTGTTGAATAAATTTCCAGCTCATTTTGGTTTTCACCCATCTGTATAATCGTTTATTTGTTTGAGTTGTTCGCTGCGGCTGAAGCTCAATGGGCTGCAAAATTATAACATTAGTTGCAAGTATTATGTATGCAAAGCGTTTTCCAAAATACCAATGGAATAGTAATTAAAGTTCACGTGTAGCATTTGTGAATTTCGTTCAATTTGAAATTCTAAAATTAACAAATCTGAGAAAATGATTTAGCTTAGCTCAAATTTCACACAAAGTTGAAGGGCTAAAGCTGATGCATCTTCTGACAAAGCATAATTTCTTTATGAATATAAATTTATGTATATACATTTATTTTTTTTTGCTATTTTTCGCATTTGGTTCATTTCATGCACTTATTTACTTATTTTTTTCGCTGCTGCATAAAAACTGAGAGAAAAAGGATATAAAAATATCGCATAGGAGCGCAGGAAACTTTATAAAACGTGACTTGGAACTAGAGAAGTGGGGTATCAGGCGCCGCCTGCACATGGCTGTGTGGCATGTGGCAACGTGGCGTCGTCTGCCGGCTGACTGCTTCCGGCATGACTGCACGCGTCTAACTGCCTTCGAGTAGCAATTAACGCCATGATATTGCGGTTCGGCGGCACGTGGCAAGCGCCATTAGTGTGAGTGTGTGTGTGTGTGCCAGGGCGATGCGTTAATATGCTAAATGAGACGCATTGACAGCCACACTAGCACGCATTTTATATCTTGCCATTTTTGTAGAATACTTTACAGCGCTTCGCAGCTTTACGTTCCATTTGCTTATTGCGAACGTAAACTTGGCCCAGACGATGGCAAAACTGTCGCCAACATTGCGCCCCGCTTCCAGCCAAGTTTGTTGCAATTTGCAATTTGGGTCGTTGCAGCCCTTCTCTGCTGCCGCTGTCCTTGCCCCTGTCTCTGCTCCGACCCTTTGGCATTGTGTGTCGCTAATTTGGTGCGCAACGCCTTGGCGGCTCCACGTTCGAGTCTTTTTTTATAATTGCTTGGCAGCAATTGTTTTAAATGCTCGATGAGCGTACACAAATTGCTTGACTATCACCACAGAGGATATTCAGCTGCTGGCTGCAGACTTTTAACCCAGTTAACTGCTGTTACACCATGCAACAAACTTGCATGCGCAATTGATGAAACTGTGCAATAGAGCAAATGTGAACTAGTTTCGAGAAACATTTAATTCTTTTAAATTTTAAGACCAAATTGGATAAAATATTTAGTTTACAGTATTTTGAGTAAGATAATATATATATTTAAATATGCTTAACTTTATTGTAGTTGAATAAACTTTTATATATATTATATATAAATAAATTGAATAGGTATGTAAATCTTTCAGCAGCAACTAGCCAATTATCCTTGTTGATTCTGTAGTTAATTTAATTATGTTTTTCTCTTCTTAGAGCCTTCGATTTGCATAAGCTTACACATGGTGACGCAATTACTTAATATTAACTTTTGTTAGTTTTAGGTTATTAAAGCTTGAAAAATATCGTTTAGATATAAAATTAATTAAAAAACTTCAAAATGCTAGTGCCGAAAGCACTTCCAATTAAACTTAAATTCATTTGTTGACAATTATTAGTTAAATTGACATGAGACAGACAAATTCATATTTATTTTTGTTGTCTAGTGTTGACGTCAATGGTTTCGTGTAGCAATAAGAAATTGCAAATGTTTTTATTATAAACAAAGAATGTAGCAGTGTGTGTGTGCTGAGGCATGTGTGTTGGTTTGAACTTTTCGCCGTTTCAAGTCGAAATCGATGCGCATCAATATTCAATATGTAGCTTTTACTGGCATCAGAAGCTGCTAGCTGTTGGCTGTTTTCCGTCCACGCACCGCAGGATACCCCGCATAGCCACGAAAACAGCAGTAGCAGCAGCAGGAGCACAATCTCAATGCGAATCCTCGATGATTCCGTACGCCAAACGCCAGCTGATGTTTGCTTTACGTAATGGAATTGTGCGGTGAATGGCGCGCGGTGGCGCATTTTCTCCTTGGCCTGGCTCACAACGGGTTCTACTGACTTTTCACTGTGTGGGTGTGTGTTTTCTTTGGCTTGGCGGTTCGCAGGCTTTCAATTGGCTTGCGGCAAGCAACAGCCAGCTGACGGCAGCCAGCAAGCGGCAGGCGGTAGGTGGCAGTTGGCAGGAAGGTTGCGATGCCAGGCATGCGTCAATGTTTCAACATTTGCCAAGCACATTTTCGATGCCGCTTCATTCAATTTATTTTCGACAGAAATTAAATAAAAATACGCATACATTAAACTGCGACACAGTGGCACATTGACATAAGCTGATTATTTTCCCATGTTAAACATAGTGGCCATCAATGCAATCGACAGCTGTTCCGCGTCCTCGACTAATGTGGAACTATTTCCTTCATTTGGGCGCAAATCCGAGTGATGCTTTTGGGGGCTTTCAGGCGCACCAGTGTTGTGTAACAGAGCAAACACGTGCTCGTATTAGCAAGCAACTAAGTGTTGTTATTCCACAGTTTTACACCACAATTACCAATTCCCCAGCTCCTCCGCGACACCTCCTCCACTCCCACTGACTACGTGCCTCAGAGCAACTACGTGTCGAATTCTCAAATATCCCCTCATCACACATAAGTGTAAGACAATCTGTGTGTGTGTATATATTTTGGTAAGTGCGAGCGTATGTGTTATGTGCATGTTTTGGCATCTTTCTATAGCTACCCGCATAGCTCAAAGCCTCCTGCCATCTAAAGTGTGCGTGTCTTTGTTTCCCCAAAAACTTTTGCTTCTTCCACATTTTCTTGCAACGTAATCATATCAGCACCGCATTTTGTCAGCCATCATACTTTACCTACACGCACACACACTTGCATGGGATTTGCAACATGCTTTACATGCTGCCTTTGTGTTTGTGTGCGATCCACTTTTTTGTTGTGCTTAGTCAGTTGCAATATGGCAAGGCTTACGCTTGCCTGAAGGGCCCGTTGCCAGTGCACTCTATGCAGATAGAGATAGGGATTATAAATAGTTGACAAACACGTTGCCAAATTGTTGAAGCACTTTGTCGTGTGAAAAACTAACATAAGCAGCTATTGGAAAATCAAAGCCAGATGCACTTAAAAAGCTACAGTTGGCTTTTATCATACGAAAACAATTTTCATTAAGTCGTTTATATAATAACAAATAATATATGGGTATTTTGTATCAAAAATTTACATTGATGTTTCCTTAAAAATATATGTATTATACAATACCTATAAATGTATGTGTGTATATATACATATATAAATTTCGAGTTTTTATTATATTACTATTTTTTTATTCTATTTTTATTTTTATTTTATTATTTTGTTGCATAGTATATTTCGCGTCACACTCTGCTTGCCACCTTACATACACATAACAGTACTTGAATTACTTTTGCTCTATTTACCTCTTCAACTACTTTACACCTCTTCTGAATCAATAAAGCACACCACGACGTTTTCCCCTTGCACTGAAATCTAGCTATCCTATTTGCACTTTTGCATTCGTATTAATAAACTAACGATCCACTGTGTTCAAAGACGGGCTCCATTCCAGCGGCAGTCGCGCAGTAAACCGTACACATCATTTTGATGTCAATTATTTTGCCGTCAAGAGTTGACATGGCTTTTGTTCGCTGTCCCCTCACCTGCTCGAAACACACACACATGCCAAAAGAAGCACACATATTCAGCCTTTGCTCCGCACATTTGTTGTTCTTGTTGGAAATTCTTTGTCGGATAACTTTGAGGTGGGTTCGGCTTCCATCGAACCTGTCGCTAGAGCTCTCTGGCTGGCGCTGGCTGCCTCGTTATGCTTTTTGGCAGCGCCTGTTCTATGCTTAGGCTTAGGCAAATTGGAAAGGCAAATTGCAGCTAGGTAATTGGCAAAAAAGGAATTTGTCACATTGTTATATCTAATGACTACGAGAGGCAATTAAAAGTAAACGAAATGCAACAAGTTATCTGTTTAAAATATCGAAACAACCTAGCTGGTTTGTGACATTTATGTATTTAATTTACTATTATATTGTGTAAAAATTGTTTGTTTAGGGCTGATGTATTTTACGATACTCTGGAGTACACAGGACAAAGGCGCATTGAATATATTTTAAATTATTCAGCTTAGCTCAACTTTCAGTTCAGGAACCAATAATTATTAAAATTTAATTTATGGATACCTTCATTATGTTAAGCACTTGCTGACAAGAGTCGCTCTAGACATAGATGCTGTGCTGCCATCGCGTTGCAATATTCGCTGCATGGCGTTGCCATCTAGGAGAGGCTATTTTTCACTCACCGCAATTTAGCCATCTGGCAACGCTATCACGCTGTTAGCTTTGCTTTGCTCGAATTTGTACAAAATAAACTTGTAATACAAATCGACTTCCGGCTCCACTGTCAAACAATCAACAGCTACAATAACAGCAGAAAGAAAACGCGCACACCGACGCCGAAGCTGACGCCGACGCCGACGCCGCCGCAATGCCGAAGGAACAGGACTTCCATGTTTTCAGCAAACTGCTCCACCCCAAAAGCAGCGACATTGAAAGCACCAATAACAAGGGCAAGGCTAACAGTAGTGGAGACGGAATCGGCGGAGACAGGAAAAAAACTCGACCCAAAAAGTTGTTCAACGACCCGCGCTTTCAAATACGGCCGCTGCAGCAGGTGGCATCCGCCTGTACGGGCGCCATGATAACCGCCTGCTTTATGACGCCCCTGGACGTAATCAAGACCCGCATGCAGTCGCAGCAATCGCGGTCGAGCAAATGTTTCCTCTATTGCAACGGACTGATGGATCATCTATTTAGCTGTGGCACTTCCTCAACAACTGCGGTTAGTAAAAAGCTGAAACCCCATTTTCGGGGCACCCTGGATGCCCTGTTCAAGATCAGTCGCCGGGAAGGCATGGCCGCTCTGTGGTCGGGTCTGGGGCCCACGCTGGTCTCGGCTCTGCCCTCCACCGTGGTTTACTTCGTGGCGTATGAACAGTTTAAGGCCAAGTACATTGACATCTACCAACGAAACTTCGCGCCACCTCTATCGAATGACCAGTTGCAAGCTCAGTCCCAAGACCAGAAGCTACCTCTGCTGGTGCCTATGCTGTCGGGAGTGACAGCTCGCATTTGCGCCGTCACTTTTGTCAGCCCCATCGAGCTAGTGCGCACGAAAATGCAGTCACAACGGCTCAGCTACGCACAGGTGCTCCAATTCGTGCGCAACATCATTGCCATGCAGGGTATAACGGGCCTGTGGCGTGGTCTGCCACCCACCATCTTGCGGGACGTGCCTTTCTCTGGAATCTACTGGCCTGCTTATGAGTACCTAAAGATCTGCTTTAGTAAGTGTGGCGAGGAGCCCTCATTTGGCTTTAGCTTTGTGGCAGGTGTGTTGGCTGGTTCGGTGGCTGCCCTGGTTACCTGCCCCTTTGACGTGATCAAGACCCATGAACAGATCGAGTTTGGCGAACGCGTTATCTTCACGGACTCGCCTTCCAAAGAACTGAGCAAGCAATCCACCTACAGCCGACTGGCTGGTATCTATCGCCTGTTTGGCATGCGTGGACTGTTCGCGGGGTACGTGCCAAGACTGTGCAAGGTTGCGCCTGCCTGTGCCATCATGATATCCACCTTTGAGTACAGCAAACTATATTTTTTCCATTACAATGTGCATCAGCACAATAAACAGCTATTGTTGCACAATCCCAATGCAAAGCTAGTCAAGGAGGATGATATCGAATAGTAAATGCCAATGGTTCAAATGTAATTTTCTTGAACTTTTATAACACAAAAATCTACAACCCTATGTACATATATTTTATGTTAAATTATTAAAACTCGGTTTAATTAGCCAAAGGAAAATCAATTTATTACATATAGAAAGCCGTGCATATAAATATGTATGTAGCGCAGAGCCTGCGGCACATGTTTAAGGCAATGCGAAAACTTGCGTTGACTTCTGTTGATTTAATTTAACATTTACACAAGTCGACACTTGAAAGGATGTAAAGGAAATGAAATTGATGGGAAATGAATTAAATATGCGCTGGCAACACTTCCCTTTCCGCACAGCCAACATAATATCCGTGGCAATACTTGAGGTTTTCAATACTCAGTAAACTGCAGAATAACTCGAGATGGTTTTTTGAATATTTAAAAAAATATTTTTTTGATAAATATTTGTTATTATATTGTATATTATTATAAATATTATTTCTTTATATTTATTTTAAATTGAAAAGTTTCATTTAAGACCATGTCAGCCACTCGCTTCAATATTACTTTATACTTACAGGATCAACCGTGAGCTTATTTGATTGAGAGACCAAGCGATGGCTTCATATGAGTCTACTTTGATTTATTACACGGCATTTTCCAGTCGTATACTGCCGCCACAGCATATCTACATCGACCTGCTGCCTGTAAAAATGCGTCTCATAAGGATATGACAGCATGACAGAGTTGACATATAAGAGGCAGAGAGTTTACACTCAATATACATTTTATTTAAGGAGAGAAAGAAATTTCCAAATGAAAAAGCAGAGCAGATATATATTTTTAATGGATTTAAGTAAAGCGTACGTTTAATTTAACAGAATTAAATATTTATGCCTTCATTCACTTTTATCCTGAATTAAATGCAAGAAGCAAGTTTAATTTCGGGCCTTTCCTCTTATCGCTAGCATTTTCTTTGGCTGCTGGGAAATGCTGTCAAGGCTTTCTCAATAGCATTGCCCATTTCAATTCCTGTTACTTGAGCAATAATCGAATTGCTTGGCTGCACTCCATACCAGTTCCTTGGTCACGTTCATGATTCAAAAAAAAAAAAAAAATAGAAATAAATTAAAAAAAAATGAGAAAATCGTAGGAAAAGCCGAAAGCGGCTGCTATCGAATTGTGCCAAATCCAAATAATACACACAGAAGTCCAATGAAGCAGGCCCCCATGGCCAAATTACTTTCCCAACTGTAGGTCATATAAATCACAAAAATGTATCTAAAACTATGCAATTAAGAAGTCTGTGGGAGAGCATGGTGGAGAATGGTGGGGCCTAGGGGGTAATGTAATTGCATTTTCTCAAAAGAGCGAAAATAATTTTAAAAATATCTACTTTCAGCGCCAGTATACAACACAAACAAAAAATGCAGCATAGTTTTAACCCAACCGAATATTTGTTAAGCGTTTATTTTCCAAGCAAAATTTACAAAGCCTGCCCCAGAGATGTGCTGCATGGTTTGGGTGTGTGTACAAAAAGCATATTTCTGTTTGTGTTGACCGCAATTTGGCAAAGTAGCCAAAAATAAAAAAAGATGAGAGCAGAGAGCAAAATTCTTGTCAGACAGTGATGGGCACAAAACTGTGATTTCCAGGGAAAGTGAAAGCAACTCCTAGTAATGGTAAAAATATATGCGTTATGCATGAATATAGAAATTGACATCGAGTTATGGGAAACAATATCTGTGTTAAGGTCGTAAATGTATTTTTTTCTCAGATGCCTATAAATTTTAAACTTCAAAAATTTATAAAAAAAAACTAACAGTTTAAATATAAAGGAAAACATTTAATATTGTTTCAATTATTAAATATTATTTTCAATAATTTCAAGCTTAAAACCGCAAGGCTTTATCTGCTTTTAAAAATTTTTTATTAACATATTTTGATACTTCAATCTGAGAGGTAAAAATATATTTCATTAACATATAAACTTCATTTGAATAATTTTGTCGTAATTCAAAATTAATAATGTTTATGGGTTCGTAAGAAATGAGTTAACCTTTTAAAAATATATAATTTTGAATTCAAAAATTGAAATCACATTTATATATATATATATATTTTGCATTGGAACTATTTCTTTTTGAGTTAATATTTTTCCGTTCTAACATGCAGTAAAAAGGTGCTACCCCTCGTTTCACACACAGCTCCAACTTGTCCATCTCCAACCGAAGCAAAAAGTAAGGAACATACATATACATATATAAATATATATATATATATACATATATATATATATATATATATATATGTGTGTGTATATTCTGAGGGGCAACTGGTAAAATGGCATTTAACGTTCAAGTTTTCTTTGTTAAACGAAAATTGGCAATAAAGCGCATTAAAAATATGCTTTCACTTAAATAATTGAAATTATATTAAAGTGAATTTCGTGCCCTGCGTAAGCCAATTTGTTACTTCAGCATGCAGCCCTTGGTTCTACCTCTTTCCACTCACAACAACCCCCATCATTGGCAACCCCACAGCTTATACAACCTATATATAAATATATAAATATATATATATATATATATTTATATATATATCTTTTTTTGTTCTCATTGCCAATTGCTTTGCTGGTCTTGGGGCGTGGCCGTAGTCCATATATTCAGTCGGGCTGTTGCTTGTTGTTTTTTGCCGCTCAAAAATATTTGCGCTAGCATCGGAAAAAACGTTGTTGATGGTCTGCCCAATCGGGAAATTGTTGTTCTTCTGCAGCAGCTGCGGCAGCAATCGTTCAACATTTACCAGGAAATTGGGTACGTTGGCTGAGCTTTCATAGAGTTCCATTTTGGCTAGTTGTGCTTGGTATTTGCATTTAATTTTTGTATTTAAAATATTCCAACACGCACGGGCACATCCACTTTATTTATGGCCTCTAGCTTGTCTGTTTGCCCGGCAAAAACAGTGACAGCACGTGGGCGTGGCAGTCCGTTTGGCCTCTCAATGACTGCCTGAGAATCGATTTCGGGCTTGAGCCATAAAAATGATTTAAGCTGATTAAATAGGCATTGAGTAGGCACTTCGGCATTAGCTCCCAGTTGCCAGCTAATGAGCTCTTTGAATTAATTAAAGATTTAATGCTTTTAATTGGCTGCTCAAATTGAAAACTGTATCAAAAACTATTTGCTTAATTGTTTAATTTTATGCAAAGTTAAGCAAAGCTTCTGCAACAAAAGCCTTGAAAAGTATTTCGCTCTAGTTTTACCAAATAAGTGTTTTTTTTTAGATTTTTTCCGTTGACTTTCTTTTTAAGCCAACGCCAAAAGAAAGCAGTTTTCCCCATGACCTTGTCAAGAAGCGAGCGTTTAATTAATTTCTAAAGCTTAGGTATATAAATGGCAGCCACTGCTCAAACAAAAACACAAGTTCAAAGATGAAAGATTAAAGAAGGAAGAGCTCAAAGATACCCTATAAATATAATAATTGACTTTTATCTTAAAATCAGAAATTCTGAATGAATTGAATTCAATGTGAAGTTTAAACTTACTATTAATTATTTATTATTTATAAATTAATATACTCCAGTTTTTAATTAATTTTAAGTCTCTGTTTTACAGATAGAGTAATCAACAATAAGACCATCAGTCATTATTATTATGTTAAAAAGCAACAATATAATTCCCTATTGTCTACACACTGTATGGCTCCAGGGTAAAAATAAAAAATAGCAGAAAATAAAGCAGAGCAGCGCAAGTGCCTCAAGTCTATTAAAAAATGCTATTAATTTTTCACAGCCTAGAAAACTGTTGATGTCTTTAAAAGGCGGGCAACGCAAATTTTTAATTAGCGCAGCCTTTTCGCAATCGCAATTTTTGCGTTGTCCACGCCCAGACGTCCGTTATCCTTTTTGTGCTGTTTGCTCTCAGGTGCTTGGGCTTTTTTTAATTAAAAAGGGGAAAAACCAAAGTAATATTTCAAGGAAAAAATATTTGCGTGCTCGCAGCAGCAATGCAAATTCCAAGGCTACGCACAAACGGCTACTCAATATCCTGTGCAAGTATCCTTTAGGCCACTGCTGGTGCACAGTTCTAGATTATGCGAGGTGCTTGTAAATGAGACTTAAGCGGATCTTTGAAATTATGAAACTCAGTTTATTTTGATTTAAATTGTATTGCGGCTCATTTGCAGCACTGTGAAATGCAGCCATTCGCACGCATTTTCAGCGCAATTTGCCTGCAATTTTCTTCAGTATTTCCATTTTCCAGTTTTCCTTTCTCCATTTATTTTCGTGCTCTCTGGTCTATGTGGCATTTGGGTTGGTTTGTTTTGCTCTTTACCAACTAAATTATTAAAGCGATAATGGCCCATAAAACTCATAAATTTGCGAGCCCGCGAACTGCAAAATGGAGGCTGCTAAAAGGTGGGCACCTTTCAGAGCTGGCCTGCCATTAAGCGCTTGGCTATTTATAAAGCCTAATTGATCTCGAATATTATTCCCGGCTGTGGAATTACCTTTTTCATGTTTCATCTAACACAAATACTTGGCAATTATCTGCGTAATTTGCTGAGCACTTTCTTTCCTTAATTATACATTGTATGCTAATCGGTTTTCTTAAACTTTTCATTTAATCTGTGTTTTTTTTTTTTTGGTTTTGCATGTCATGAGCAAAAGCAAGCTAAATTTGTCGTTTAATCCATAATGAACAATGTTTTGCAATCTTTGAAAGATTTTGCTGAGCTTTGCCCCATTTGCTATGTATACGATACTCATGAATAATTCATGGGAAACTTTATAGACACTGAAGGAGATGAGGAAAGGTGCAAATGCTCTTAGATGGAAATACGTTTCTATGAAACATTTTTCTATACAAATATACTAGATAAATACTGTCGTACATAGCTTTTAATTAAATATAGTACCTTTACAGTGTACCTCAAAGCACACTTTAAAATACAAGTTGAGCTCTCGTCTCGCCCTAACTAGCCTGCATGCAAGTCTTTGTTAAGTCAAATAAATTTTATTATGCAGAGTCAAAGTGAAGAAATAAAGCTTTAAATCATGTTAGAAAAATAATTAACTTTATGAATATAAATAAATAAATAGCATGCAAA